GCTCGGTCTGCCCATAAACAGTAATCTGGATTATTCAGTAAGGTCTTCCTCTGTCCACAACTGAGACATCTCATCACGGTAAAACGAGTCTTGCTGTTTTTTCCTTATTAAAGAAATTCAGTTTAAATAAATAAATAAGTAATTTTTTAAATATTTATTCATTATCAACCATTTCTGAAACACAGGACAGAAAGTGACATCCTACATTAAGTAGGGATTGAAAGATAATAGGGGCTTACGTTTTTGTCTTGTTGTAGCAGTTACACCTGGAATGAGCAAAGAGCAGCACCTCTTGCACAATGTCCTCTTCACCGATGGATCTCTACATATATTGAAACATTAAAATGTTAGTCCATCTTTAAGTACATTCTGATTTTACTACTGTCCATCAGCTCCAAGACCAGTCTCATGTAAATATATGTGAATCTTCACACAGCTACACATTAACATCATAACACTTGTCCACACATTGTCAGTGTGAGACTGCTCTCATTTGTGAATACAGCAGGGTAAACGTGGCAGATGTTCCAGACAAATGCCAACTGAGCTGCTGGTCTGTGAGCACAGGGCCCACTAAACGATCTCTGGTCCTTATGTGTGCTTGTGTAGTTCGTACGGTATCGTATATTTAACACTATTTCAATAACTTGTTGGGTTTTTTTTTTTAACTGTGACATTTTCATCTCAGTAGTTCAATACTTGATCTAAAGGGAGCTCTGTGGCACGCCGAAATATCCTGCATTACTCTTTTGCTCCCCAGACAATGTGATCAACGGGATTTGTTAAAAATCAGTATTTAAGTACACGTGATTATCATCTCAACTTACTGTCTGAGAACGAGACGCTTTGCAATCGTCTTCTGTGAGAAGCAGTAGAAACGAGCCAGCTCCACATTTTCCGGATTTTGAGCTAAAACACAATGTGCAGCCTGTGGACAAAACGTAAGAAACCAGCTGAGCGACCACATTCAAAACAGAGAGCATGCTAGCATTTATGTAGCATGTGACTGTAGCTGGAAGCATCGTGACGATAATTAACTAAAACTTTCTCCAACCTGGTAAAGGTAGTTCAGTCTCTGGTAAGCTTCTTTGTCTTTCAAGTGGAGCGCCATTACACACAAAAGTCAGATAACAAATTAGCCCTAATAGTAACAGCGGATTACTTCTAACTACAGAAGTATGACCCTCTGAAAGTAGCTACAACTAATATACTTCCGGGTTAATCCTTCAAAATAAAGGCACACAACGTGATTCACACCTCGGAAAATCAAAAACGCTAAATCATCAGATTAGGAATTAACTGTCTACAACAATTCAAAGACCCGACAAGCATCTTGTATCTTTGTAGTTTAGTTATATCAACATCAAAC